AGCTTCTGATTTTACAGTTTAAGATACCTGTAATTCACGTTGGCTGGAGGTTGAAGATGACCAACGTGTCATCTTCCAACCAATGATGGCACACCACTTGTTATTTTTGAATTCTGATTTAATAATTGATTCAGTGCTTTATTCACTAATGACCATGATATGCACAATGCGCCAGATCCTTTGGATCTGATTACTAACGCATTTTGACTCTCATCCAATGGTCCACATATTTTTGACTTTTATTTTCTTTTCTGATTTTTATATTTAATTATTTTAAACTTCAAAAAATCATAGAAAATTCATTTTAAGTCCAAAAAATCTGAAAAAATTATGAAAAATATTTTTGATTATTCTCTTTCTGATTTTTATTTTTCACAATTTAATTTTGTGTTTTGGTATTTTTTATAAATTTACACTTTATTTGAATTATTTTAAATGTTTAAAAATACTTTTATGCATTTTTAAATTCTGAAAAAATTATAGAATGATCCAATGATATTGTGACAAATATTGGTGACCTTATTTTATATTTGTTTTTGACTTTTATATTTTTTTATTATCATTTTTGGTTTATTTTCCCATTTCTTTTAATTTTAAAAATAGTTTATGACTTTAAAAAATTGCCAAAAAATTTATAAAATCATTTGAGCCCTTTTTTGATTTTTCTGTGGTCTTAATTTTTATTTCTTGATTAATTTGAACATAGTTGATATTTTTCTATTTTATTTCTATTTTTAAACATTATTTTTAAACCTTTTTGTATATATATATTAAAATGTAATATTATTTTGTGACTATTTTCTGGCTGATCTTGGGTAAACTTTTTGATCATGAACTTTATTAGCATCATTGGATCCATGGTGTTGAGTCTAACTCCACAAAAATGGATGAATGATTTTAATAATAGTTTGATTAAATTTAATCCAAAAGTGGTTTGTATATTCTCTCCCACCCCTCTTCATCTCATCCCCTTCTTATTGCACTAAATGTTGTTGGAGTATGATCTCTATATCATGTCTTAAAACAAATGGTGCATAGATTGCTATTGACTGGCCTCAAAATAGGCGCGACTTCTATATAAGTCCACTTACGATTGCTTAACATAGCGTTAAATTTTGTCCCGATTAGAATAAATTATCATTCGTGGCCCAAACTTATGTTTGCAAGCCCAAGTATGTTAATTTGATCTCTTTGATCCAATAACCTTGAGATTCATCGTGTGGAGGCTTTGGATCTACCAATCCTCTAATGGATCTACAACATCTTTGGTCAACACAGATCACTTAAACATCGTTGATCATTAAGTGATACTCATAAGGATTCCAAATGGATGATATACTTGACAAAAAGCAAATGCAACTTGTTGTGTGGAGGCTTTGGTTCTACCAATCCTCTAATAAGTTCCAAATGCAAGTTTCAAGATGATCATCCAACTAACCACTAATCACTAATAATTGACTTTATCATTTATTCTTTTATTATATGCCTATTTTATTTTTATGCACTATTTACTTTTAACATTTACATTTTATGCCATTTTCATCTTTGCTCATTTGAGCATTTACTTTCTTGTCATTTTTATTTTTGCTCACTTGAGCTTTTCTTTTCTTTTCTTAAGATACCTAATAATCAATATGAACCATAAAATCCTTAATGATACTTGGACTATTTGGTTACTATCCTTGGCATTTTGGAGTATTGGACTTCTTGGACTTAGGAATAGAAACCTTGATCTTATGTTGGAGACCTTGTGACCTTAATTGATATTTTGTCTGGAGCTCTTGAGGTTTACCTCAAGACAATGGGTTGTTTGTTTGTTTTGTGTGTAGGTTATTGTGATTACACCTTTTGTTTGTAATATGGAATTCACCCGAATACAGTCGTTACTCTGTCCAATTTTTGTGAAGACTTAATACACTTGAAGTTTGGTTCTCTCAAGAGGTCTAGTATTTTTGCTTGTTTGGTTTCAATCCAAAGAATGGGAATTCTATCTTGAATCATAGTGTCAAGTATTGGCTTCTTGTTAGTTAAATGGTTCTTATCTCTAGCTTTTACCTTATGCTTTAGGATAACCTCTTCTTCTCCTCCCATCCTCTTTAATTTCAAAAACCTTCTCCCTCCTTTTGAAAACTCTTCTTGTTTTAAACTTGAATCACTTTCATAATAAACTTGGACTTAGGTCCATGCATTTTCAAATATTTTCATAAATAAACTTAATAATACTTTGACATTTTTGTGAGAAGACTAAAAGTCAATTAATCTCATTTCAAACCATTTTGCCACTTTGACTCTTATCTTTAAACTTTTCTCAAAAGATTGAACTCTTGTCAATCCTTGTAGTTATGCAAACAACTATACTTCTATAATATGTAGTGAAGATAGATATTTTCCACTTGGGTATTGAGTGAGGCATTGTTGATTTTAAAATCCAAGCCATATCCTCCACTTTGAGATGATGCAAATTCTCCTTTCTCATGATTGTGGGTAGTAGGTATGTTTTTCACACGGACAATGACGATGATTTTTATCTCATAAAATTAACCAATACATTTGTGTTTTAAAATTTTTAAAAGAGAAACTATGTGTACCCTGATCCTCTATTGTATAAAAAGGTGGTACGAAGGCACTAAAGGTTCACAACCGCGGTGGGTGCAAAAACCATAAAAAATATATTTCTTTTCTCACCTCCACTATCCATTTTTATACAACATTTTCATAGCCAAAATATACATATTTTTCAAAGAGGTTCCTGTGGAGTACCGTAGATGTTTAGGGTGCTAATACCTTCCCTTTGCATATCCAACCCCCTTACCTAGAATCTTTCCCCCTCTTTTAGGGTTATTCGCTCTTTTCCCATTTCTTTGGAAACAATAAAGAATTATGGCGATTTTTATTTTGATTTATATAAAGTCTAGTCAATCCAATGGTTTAGTCTTAAACATTTCTACCGCTACAAATACATCTTTCAAATACAGTTCAGATACGATCCAAATACAGATGTCATTTTGACACTCATTCAATACATCTTTCAAATATAGTTCAAATACGATCCAGATGCGGATGTCATTCTGACACTCTTTCAACACATCTTTCAAAATCGGCTCGGATACGATCCAATTATGGATATTATTCTGACACTCATTCCACTACATCTTCTGACTTAGATTAAATCGGCCAAAGATTTACTCTGATACTTTTCCCAATAACAGTCAGAGATTTATTTTCCCTCATTTCAACGATGCTACAACGAACAACTGATCAGTTCATATATTGCATTCATACATTATTTTACAAACATCATAGCATATGCATACAAAATACATATAGCACAATCTCATTTATTTTGAGAACATCATGCATCATGACATTGCATACATCTAAAATCTATACCTTTTCAGGAAATATCAACAAACAAATATCATCATCAATTTTCAACAAGTTCCAGATTAATACCTGAAACAAGACAGGATAACTATCTGTGAACAACTTATTATAGATTAATACCTGAAACAAGACAAGAAAACTATCTATATGAGCAGATTGAAGATTAACTGCCGAAATTTCGATATATCACAATCGGAAAATTTAAAATTTTCAGTTAACCGCAACCGAAAAATTTGAAAATGCAAAGATTTTCGATTAACGAGCAAAAATCGATACCAAAAATTTCATAATCACACCAAAAATTTCGTTTTCACCTTTTGACCAATAGAATATTTTTTTGACAAATATAAAAATTTAGAAGTATATAGTCACAAGAGCATTTTAGGGATAAACAAATATGAGAAGTGCCAAATTTAAAATGAGAGGTGTGAAGTTAAATTCTCATAAAATCTCAGAATCCTTTTGAAAATGAAAAATAAGAAAAGTTAACTAAACAATTTTACGCCATTAAAAAAAATTTGCCACCTTAATTTATTCTCATGACTTTTATTATTAAAAAGACTTTGAGTTGTTTAATAATAACAACGATTAATTAAATTGATAATTGATAACTTATAATTTATAGGTGATGATTGAAAATGATAGTTTAAAAGTTAATTGAAATATTTTAAAAAATTAACAGTTTAATTAATTTATAAATATAACATAAAAGATATTTAATACATAACTAATCCATTTTAAATTAAAATAAATTATTAAAAATAAAAATGATTAAATTAATAAAATAAAAGTGAAAAAAAAATGATAAAATATAAACTATAAGTTAAAATACTATTTAGAATAATATTTAAAAAATAAGTGATGAAAAGATCGTTGTAAAATAGATGTAAATTATATATAAATTTATAAATTATAAATTATAAATTCAAAAATAATAAATAATGTTTTTTACCAAATATAACTTTCTTAAAGTTTGCTTATATGACTTAAAAAAATATACCTATTAATCCAAAAATTTATTAACAATTTTAGAAGAATCTGCCCATAAAAAAACACATTTGACTTAGTTTATTTTATTTCTTACAAAAACTGCTTTTTAAACCGGTCCTAAAAAAATACTCGTACTCAATCAAGATGCACTACCCCCGGACACATCCACCATTCTGTTGACGAATTCCAAACATGGAAATCATCGTGCCTTAACATAAAAATCCAATTTAATACCTAAATTACCCTCACTCAAAAATGGAAACTCAATCTAATTTAATTATTTAATACCATAAATACGATAATTATTATTCAGTGCTTAGCGCATGCCAGCTAAGTAAATCACAAAAACTTTACATATATTAAAAACGACGGCGTTACATACGTACAGCTATTACAATTACAACACTCTCTCAAAACCAAAATTTACATCAAAATTTTATAACTTTTAATTTTCCATTTTCTCTCTCAAATCTCAAACTCAAACCCAAAATCAATTAACGCTATTGTTCAAACTTCAAATGTAGAAGAACAGAAAAACACATTCGAAACTTCGTTTTTCTGCGATTTCAGATTCGTTTATAATTTATATATAACCGTCGTTGTTTTTTCGGTTAACCCGACCCGAAATGGAATCGAATTCAATGTCGTCTTCCAGTTTCACTCCGCCGTTAATCGGCGTCTCTAGGTTGAGATCTTCCTCCGTTAAGAAGTTGCCGGAACCCTTACGCCGCGCCGTCGCTGATTGCCTCTCTTCACCGGTCAGCTCCGCTAACGAACCTTCCAGAATTCTTCGGGTACTCAGCTTTTTCTTCTTCTCCGCTTTTTTATTGTTCGATTTCGATTTGTTTTCAGTAGTGTTATTGGAAATTAGAAACTGAAATTCATATCATGTTTTAAATTTATTTTCTTAATTTTATTATAATTATTGTCGTTGTTATTATTATTATTATTATTATTATTATTATTATTATTATTATTTATATTTATCATAATGCGATTGTGACCTAGTTGTTTGGTAGAAAAATATAAGGTTATTGTATTTCACTAGCTGAAATTTACCTTTAATGCTGAGAAATTTAGTAGTGAAACGGGGAAAGGGTAGTTTTGTCATTGTAATATAATATGGTTTATTTTAATGAAGTTCTGGGAAGAGGTGTTACTCAATGATGCTACTTATTCATGTATGTATCCATCAAGCATTTACTGGTTTTAGGTTTTATATTTGATAGGGTTTTTAAACATTCATTGTAAAATGAATGTATTCAATAAATGTTTTACTACTCAAACTGGCTTGAAGTCCTATACTATATTTTTGTGAGGGTAGACTTTTAAGTTGGGGTAACTGCTGCGGTTGCGGTTGCGGTTTTTTAATATTGCGGAGAGCTGACAAATGTGGTTGAAGTGGCTTCAATTGCGGTTATGCGTCATTAAATGTGGTGCGCTGGCAAATTTGGCTGATGTGGCCTCAATCGCGGTTATGCGTCATTAAATGTGGTGCGCTGACAAATTTGGATGATGTAGCCTAAATTGCGGTTATGCATCATTAAAATGTAGTGGTGCAGACGTTTTTTTAAATCTTGCGCGTGGGTGTACCATAATAACTCCCTGTTGGAAGTTTAATTTACGTTATAAAAAGTTTTTTCCTTTGGTTTTGTGTATACTTTACAAGTTACCAGATACCAATATTAAATGAAATGATGATGATTATGAGGATGATGCATACAGGTGCTAGGAGTTTTAGAAACGACTTCTAAATAAATGAGCATTTCTTGTTTTTATTTATAACTTATAGTGCAGAGTATCTATATTAATACTTCTAGGGGAAGGTTTAATTAATATTCATATTAATGGCATAACTTGTAGAGAAAATGTAGCTTTGGTTTTTTGTTATGGCAATATATATACATAACACCCACCTCTGTGAGAAAGTAAGGAGACACAAGAAGCCAAACCACCTGAGGTAAGCCTAGGAAATCAGATTCCCTGCCTAACCAACCAAAGCCGCAAAGCTTCATAAGCCAAGCCCCTAGTCCTCTAACAGTTCAAGTAGAGGAAAGGATCAGTCAGCCACTCGAAAAAAGTACAGGAGTAGCAAGATGTCTTTTATAGATACCACTTCTAAAAACAAAAGATACTTCTATTGTCCAGTTCCTCTATAGTAAAAGTTTTACCAAAGAAAATATTCTTGTTACGAGATTTCCAAAGGTTCTTTTCTTATATCCGTTTGCATCCAGAGTAGGGGTGGTAAACGGGCATGCCCGCCCCGCAAAAGCCCGCAAAAAAATGGGGCGGGGCGGGGCGGGCATAGTTGAGGATGAGGGCCTAAAATCTAGGTCCGCTTCGCAAAAAAGTGAGTGCGGGGCAGAGAAAGCCCGCGGGCACTGCACCTTTCAGGCATAAAAATGCAAAATTTTATGTTAATAATCATGCCCGCAAAAGCCCGCGAAGAAAACGGGGCGGGGCGGGGCGGTCACATTAGAGGGTGAGGACCTAAATTCTTAACCCGCCCCACACTAAAGTGCGGGTAAAACGGACATGTCCAACGGGCCGGATCCGTTTTGCCACCCCTAATCTAGAGTCATGTTAATGGGTTTGGTGTGAAATTGGATGCACGTTCTCATGATAGGGAGGTGATTGCAAATGTTAACATGTATTCCATTTGTGGTGATTGGGGCCTTGCTAATGAAGTTTTCAATGAAAGGGGAGTATGGAACTTGATCATTTACAACTCTTTGACTGGGGGTTTCAATTTAAAAGCATAGAATAAGAGTGTTTTGCATAGAAATAATAGGAAAGAAGAAACCGTATCAGCATCCTTATTTGTTCATACAGTGAATTGCTACATGGAGGATGTAGAAAGTGGTTTTCTTATGTTGCTGGAAAATTTTATAGCAAATCATCACACTGCGGGGTATTATAGGAGTCACAACATTAGATATATTGGATGCTTCAAGTAAGGTTTTTGTTTTACTTAGCTGGACCTATGAGTGATTATGCCCGAGCTTTGGTAAATTTGTATGACAACAACTGCAGGTTGACACCTAGAGGTAGTGAAAGTGAAGTTGTGTTGCAGGTTCAGACTTCAGTCGTTTGAAGCCGGCTCATCAAGTATCTAACAATGGGATTCTCGGGGGCAAGGGCTTGATTAGCAACTATTACAATACAGAGAGTTCTTGAACTGTTCAATACATCAGTTTGTTTTGCTGAGATTTCTTGTGCCCGAATTCCTTGTTCTCTTGCAAGTTGTTCATGCCATGGTTATGCGACCAACTGTGAGTGATAAGATGTATTCAACATGTCAGTGTCTTCACCATATCCTTGAGGAATGAGCTGTTTCTCTAGCGGCCGGTAATGATAGGATACTGGGTTTGGGTCTTAGCCCCATAGAAGGGGCTGAATAGGGGATTGCTGAGGTGGCAATTAGTTAGAAGTAGGGGCTGTTCATGGCATAGTTCACTAAGAGAACCAAACTGTACTGAACCGAACCATAATAAAAAATTGCAAGAACTGAACTTTTTAAATTTGTTCAGAACCGAACTGAACCAAACAATTGGTTCGGTATACCGGTTCATTATTCTGAACCGTACCAAACTATTAGTAACAAGAACCACTTGTTAGGGTGAATAGAACCTATTAAATTATTTTAAATTTTTTAAATAAAAAACCATTTTAGACTTTTTAAAACCATTTTTATAAGTATTTTTTATCACTTATATAATGTGAAGTGTTTAAATTCAAATTGATTGAAATCAAAATCACAAGTTTATTAAAAAATAAAAAAAATTAAAATTATTAGACGTAAAATTGTTCATATAAATGAATTTTTCAAAACAACCCACTTAACAAAAACCTAAAATTGTATAAACAAACAGTATTATAAAAACAAAGAGTATTATCGTGATGTCTTCCTAAACAAAAGTAATATTCACGTGAATTTTTTTTCCTGTACGTCCAGTTTATTTTTTACCAAACTTATCACCATATAAAAAATTTAATTTTTTCAATATTATTACTCCTAAAAAATTAACTTCTAATATTTAAAATCAAATTTAATATTAAAAAGTTAATTTTGAGAAAATACCCCTGAACTAAAGTTACATAACCAAGTAATACCACATCATAGTTAATAATGGTTTGGTGTGGTATGTTTTGGTTAAGTTAACGGTTCGATTCGGTTAATGAACTGTGGTTTGATTCATAAACCATAGAGAACAGTTCAGTTATTTAACAATAGTTCGGTTCGGTATGTGGTTCAGTACAGTTCATGGATTTTTTGAACAGACCTAGTTAGAAGAGGCGGCACAGTTATAGAGGGATGGAGGGGAGAGTAAGGAGGCATTCAGAAATATTGTTCAGAGTTGGTTAGGAGGATTTTCTCTCTGGTTAGAAGCATTCAGAAATATTGTTCAAAGTTGGTTAGGAGAGTTTTCTCTCTGGTTAGAAGCATTATGCTCTTGTAGGAGTGTCACATTCTAGTTTATCTTTTTTTTAAACGTTTTAAGTGGGCTTTGCTCCATTTTCGTACTCAATACAGACAGATTTTCCTTTATGAATGCCTAGGTTCCATCACATATTCTGTAGGGGAGAAATATGTTTGTTGTCAGTAGTAAGTCAAGTATTTCTACATATGTGCTGAATGTGCAAGCACTAGCTTCTTCTTTTTGGAGCTTCCTAACTAATCATGGCATGACTTGTGTATCTTATAACATAGCCAGATTTTAATGCCATGAGAACTTGTAATTCTCCATGATATATCATGACCAAAATTCAAATGGGTTGCAAATTATGACGCCATTGTATTTGAATTTGATACTCAGTATCCAAAGTCCCAGCCTTACCAATTTCATTTTATGGCTTAAATATCTTATTGCAGGACTATCTGAAAGGTCCTATGACCACAGACATGGCTTACAGTGCAATTCTGGAACATACTATTGCAGAGAGGGAGCGCAGGTAATTGTCTCATTTATTTCTTGACATAGTGTAGTTGCTGATACCATCCAGAATGCTTTAAAACTGTTGCTTTAATATCTTTTTGCGGTATACTTCAGTCAATGCCATGCACTTAGTGAACTAATTATGTTGTATGAAACAGGCAGAATGCATCCTTATAATTTACACGTGTAGTATACTAATCAATCACTGCAAACTTTTTATGTGTTTAGGATTAGAAGCTAGTGTATCTATTTGTGCATGTGGAATTGGATGCTGTCATATTTATGAAACATATGGTGCAATTGGGGTTTTAAGACATTAATAGAAGGTATACATGATAACAACAAGATGTTTATGTTTAGTGTGTATTATTACCTCTATTACTGATAGCAGTACCAGCAACAGAAAAGCACAGAGAAGCCAAACTGAAAAATAGAAATAAAATATAGATAATCCAAGGCTTTCAAAAAGCCTCGGTCCCTCCCTCCAATTTCCCTCAATTCAGCCTTGGCCCCTCCCTCCAATTTCCCTCAATTCAGCCTTGGCCCCTCCCTCCAATTTCCCTCAATTCAGCCTTGGTTTGCCTCCTTATTTTTCTCTCCAATTTCCCTTGATTCAGTATTAAGATGCCTCTTGTTGCCTGAATAGGCAGTTATACTGTTTTCTATGCTTTCAAGTGGTCACACAATATGCATGGCTCACACGAGACTCTAATTATGTGATCCTTTTATTTTTCTTCCTGTAATGCACCTGTTATTTTTATTTTTTGTAACATTACTAGTCCCCCTCAAGCCATTTCCAGTTTGACATTGACCTCAATATGAAAGTTAGGAAATTGATCTTGGATAGCTGTGAAAGGTTCCCGCGAATCCCCAGAGTATGGGCGGCACTTCCATAAACTAAGGACTCCACTATAAACTAAGGACTCCAATGGTCTTCCCTAGGTTAGTCCTGGGATTTAAGACCTCAGGAGGCTGAACTTGAACATGTAGTTCCCATTTGTTAAAAGACTTTGATAGAGGATTAAGAGATTTGTGGAATGCTTGAGTGATTTGCACTCAGCTGATCTATTTACATATACTACTAGAAATAATTGTAATTTACATTTACAATGAGATTAATAATAATGCTATTTCCTAGGTGCATGGATGTTATTTCCTAGATGCAAGACTAACTAGATTCTGCAACTTTCCATACTAATAATTGTTACTAATTCCAACATTTCATAATTGCTACTAATTCCAACACCATTCTTGAAAGCGTTGTAATTAGGAGCAGATTTAGAGCAGAAGCGGAAACGTACTTTTTCAACTAGACATGATAAGTTTCAGCCTGTATGCCACTTCTTGCACTACTTTTCCACATCCAGCCAAGGGCCGTATGTACCAGGCCTTTCATTCTGTATGCCACTTGTACTTTTTATTCCACATCCAGCAAGGGCCATATGTACCTGGCTTTTCATTCGCTCTTTTACTAGTGATCAAAGTCTAGAGGATTGGAACTTAGAGTACGAGTCTGTATGTTTTTCATAGCGGAATGAAAAATAGCTTCGGCACCTTTGAGTAGGACAGGTGGAGGTTATATATGCAGATTGCAGAGTTTTGTTTAGCTGAATTATTGTAATTAGTGTTGTACCATAACTCAGCCCAGCTGAGTTGTTTTGCCCACTTCTTAGTACTGTTTGATACCAATCAATTATTATTTCCTTTCTTTATTGATTTAGCTTGTTAGAATTATGTGAGCCGTTTCAAATTTCAGCTGTTTCTGACATTGGCACTATTTTAACCAGTCCTGCAGTAGTTGCAAGGTGTGTGGCACTACTAAAGCGGTATCTTCTAAGGTACGTTACCGGTTATTTGCATACATGGATGCTCCATATTTTCATAATTTTTTTTAATCTTTGAGCATAACCCATATCTTTTCCATTCCCGTGTCATAGACTTGCGTGTTATTATAGTATTGAAATCTAAATGTCCTTTACTAATCACGGTCTCTCTGTTGGATAAACCCTCAGTTGGAAATAGTTGATTAGTTAAATAATGTGAAGGAGAGATTAGGTTATCTTTGGTTTAGTAAATTAATTTACAGCAGGGGAGAGCTAGGAAGCCACAAATACCTTAAATATACTCCCTCCGTTTCAAAATGACTGTCGTTTTAGCAAATAAATTTTGTTTCAAAATGACTGTCATTTTTATTTTTCAATATAGTAATGATTACTATTTTTTCAATTGTACCCTTTATTTTTTACTCTCTACACTACTTCCAATATATTAATAGGGTTAATTTTGTAAAAATATAATATCTTATGACAACATCATTACATTTCTTAATTTGTGTGCAAAAATCTTAAACGACAATCATTTTGAAACAGAGTGAGTAATATATTTTGTAGCAATAAATACTTTTTTTTTTGTATTCTGAACCAGCAACCAAAACTTTTATTTCTCAAGATGTTTGGGAACTATTGAAAATTATATAGGCAAATAAATAATTTTTCTTTTTTCAGTGATAAAATATAGAATGGAAAAATCTGCAAAAGTGGACCATAAAATGTTTTTGAATAGAAATCTAAAAAAAAAAAAATCAAACTGAGAAAAAAGAAGACTGTCAGTCAAGACCATGTTTCTGAAAAACATATTTTAATATATTTATTTACTTGGCTGATGGGGTTGCCTTTTAGGACTAGGGACAAGCCTTCTTTATTTTCATGGACAAAGGGAATAGTCTTAGTATTGTGCTAATTTGTTTTCTGTTGAAGGTTCTTCTATATAATAATTATTAATTAATTGCATTTGAGTTAGGTTCATTTAATGTCTGGAACATGCAGCGGGTATCTTTCCTTGTATGACTGCATATTGTACATCTTGTTTTGTTGCTATTTAGCCATTATTAAGTTTTCAGAGCTTGTTCATTAATACAGATACAAACCGAGTGAGGAGACATTACTTCAGATAGATCGTTTTTGTTCAGCTGTAATTGCCGAATGTGTTATTAACCCAAATCAACCATGGTCACAATCTATGAATCGACATTCTGGTGCTTCCACAACTCCATCTCCTTTACTTGTATCTAGTGTTGCTTCTGAGGCACATGTGAAGTCACTGAGTTATGTGCGCTCCCTAGTGGCCCGACACATTCCCAAACGGATTTTTCAACCAGCTTCTTCATCGGGAAAATCACTGCCAACATTGTCATCTTTGCTGAAGAAATCTTTCAATTCTCAACGTAGTCCTGCTATTGTTCCAGAAACGCCAAGTTCTTCTAGTGGTCCAAAAACATTACAGGAAGACTCCATCATGCGCTCTGTCTCAAAGTCATTAAAACATGAAAAAGTTGATGAAAAGAATGAATTAGGGTTCATTGCCCATGATGTTCTGAAATGGCGTTGGCTTGAGCAACCACAATCGTCATCAGTTGGGACTGAAAGGTAAATAATCTTTCAGCATGTTTTTCACAGCTTATTTTGAGAAAATAATTGTTTTTTTAAGCTGACTATGGAAGCTTTCAGAAATTAAAGAAAAGCTATTATGGTCCCAACATGAGGTCATCCAAACATGCATTTAATACTTGTTTTTTGGTCTTGAGTTTTCTCTCATAGTGCTTAAAAAATTTACTCTATTATTTAACATGATTTATGCAGTGATCGTGGTCAATATATGACATCACATAGTAGTTTCTTAGAAGTAGGTGCAGCAGCTTTACTTGTAGGAGACATCGAATCTAAGATGAAGGGGCAACCATGGAAATTTTTTGGAACTGATGATATGCCTTACCTGGATCAGCTATTGCAGTCTTCTCCTGTAACACCAATTACAAATTCTGTCTCTGCTTGCCACCTGAGAGCAATAACAGCATCTAAGCGCAAAAAAGCAGGCTCTCGTCATATATGGCACGTTCTCGTATAACTCACATAGCTATTACTTTCTTCCAAAATTTTGGTGTTTTTAATCTAAGTTCATACTATGTTAAATTTTACTAAGTTTATTATTTTTCTCTGGCATGTATTAGAGTAACACTAGAATAGCATATAGAAGCTTAAGGTTTAGTAAAGATAAGTAAAGCAGCTAAACTGATAAGTTTAGACTGCATAGTGTTACTATATAAACTCTGTAGAAACAGAGATGTAACTAACAATTGTTCAATAACAGATTCAGTTACAACAAACTTTCTCTCTCTTCTCGAAACTCTCTCTACTTATTATACCTTTCTAATATGGTATCTAGAGCTTCTTGATCCATTTTCATGGCTTCCGATAAAGACAGTTCGAACAACACCGCGAACAGCACGGTGGTTCGTGACGGTGTATCCTCAACGTTCAACTTGAAGAATGTGTTCAAAACGTTCACGCAGCAAGTGACGTTGAAACTTGACGAAAACAATTTCCGATCATGGAAACAACAAATCGAAGGCATAATCCGCACTCATCGTCTTCATCGCCTTCTCGTGAATCTGATTATTCCGCCTCGCTACCTCTCCGATGAAGATCTCACCACTGATAAGCAGAATCCTGCGTTTCTGATGTGGGAGCAGCAAGACTCCCTGCTTTTCACGTGGCTCCTCACCACGCTCTCCGATGCGGTTCTTCCTCGTGTCATCAGGTGCGTTCATTCTCACCAAATCTGGGACGAAATTCACCAGTATATCTTTGCGCACACAAACGCGAAATCGAGACAACTATGCTCGGAATTGAAATCTATCACCAAAGGGGAAAAATCCATTACTGAATATCTTGCTCGTATTCAACGAATTGTTGACATCCTCGAGTCAATTGATGATCCAATTTCGCATCGTGATCAACTTGAGGCGATTCTTGACTGTTTTTCCGGAGGAATACAATGCCCTAGCGTCGATTATTCAATATCATGCGATTCTATGTCCTATTATTGAAGCTGAGTCGATGCTTCTTGCTCATGAAGCTAAACTGGAAAAATCAAAGAAAAATGCTCTGTCTGAGCCTCTCTCTGAATGTAGCTCAAGCAACACCTTCTATTGCTGCTCAAACTGCACCTCTAACCACACCTGATTCCACCAATGTGATGCAGTATTCTGAGATTTCCTCCTTTAATGAAGGTCATGGTGGTTATCGTGGTGGAAGGCACAATCGTGGCAGAGGTGGCAGAAATGGTGATAGATCCAGAGTTCACTGTCTATTCTCCTCTAAACCAGGACATGATGCTAGTATCTGCTATCACAGGCACTCTGCTTTGATGCCTACTATGTGGAATGCCACTCCACAACATCAAAGACCTACCTGGAATCAGTGGACTAATCCTACCATAGCTCAACAAATGGCACCAGGTGGCTACAATCAATGGATTCCTACTCCCAGTGTTCAAGCTCTTGTGCAGAATCAGTGGATTTCTCCAGCTCTCAGAGGTCCTCCCCCTGGTTTTGCTCAAAGGCCTGTGTATCAACCACAAGCTCACTTCACTGGACAGGATTTGTAGCAACAACTGATTTCACTCAGCAGACTCAACCTTGGTATCCTGACTCAGGTGCTACGCATCATGTTACTAGCAATGGTGATTATTTGTCTGAAAGTGTGGCTCTTCCTGGTACAGTGACCAAGTTCTGCTTGGTAATGGCCAAGGTTTGCCTATAACTTCCATTGGCATTGCTTATTTCTCTTCACCCTGCACAACACACACTCATCTCACACTCAAGAATCTTTTACTTGTACCTCGTATCACAAAGAACTTGATGTTTGTGAGTCAATTTTCCAAAGACAACAATGTTTTCTTTGAGTTTCATTCTGACAGGTGCTTTGTTAAAACACAGGGCGACTCTAAGATTGTGCTGCAAGGTTTCCCCAATAACGATGGTTTGTACACCTTTGGTTCTCTACAACCAGTTTCCAACTCTGTTTCCAATTCTCATGCTTCTATCAATAACGTGTCAAAGATTTCTGTGCCCCCCACAACTCTTGGTCCTTCCTCCTACACTCTGTGGCATAACAGGCTTGGTCACCCACATCATGAGGCGTTGAAGTCTATCTTGCAGCTGTGCAACACTCCTGTTCCTCACAAATCCCTACTGGACTTCTGTACCCCCTGCTGCTTGGGAAAGATACACAGATTACCTAGTACACTATCACACACAAGTTACACAAATCCTTTTGATTTACTGTCTGCTGATGTATGGGGCCTGCTCCTATGGATTCCATTTGTGGTTATAAATACTTGCTTACATGTGTGGATGCGCTTATACAAAATATACTTGGGTGTTTCCTATCAAACTTAAATATGATGTATTGCTCACTCTCACACACTTTATCACAGGTATTGAGGTCCAATTCTCAACTCAACTTAAGGCAGTCCAAACTGATGGTGGAGGAGAGTTCAAATCTCTCACCTCTCTATTTCACTCAAAAGGCATTGCTCATAGGCTAGCCTGTCCACACACACACACACACACCATCAAAATGACTCAGTTGAGAGGAATCATAGGCATGTGGTTGAAACAGGACTAACTTTGCTTGCTCAAGCAAATTTACCCCTAAAATTCTGGGATCATGCTTGTTTAACTGCTGCCTATTTGATAAACAGAATGCCTACCCCTTTGTTAAGCATGCTATCTCCTTATCTCATGCTTTGCAATACTGTTCCTGAGTATAAATCCCTTAAGGCCTTTGGATGTGCTTGTTTTCCACATCTCAGACCATACTCTGCTCACAAATTTAATTTTCACTCTCAAGAGTGCATTTTTCTGGGCTATTCTTCCAATCACAAGGGGTACAAGTGTCTGGCTCCTAATGGCAGAATTTATATATCTAAGGATGTTGTCTTCAATGAGGCTAGATTTCCCTATCCCTATCTGTTTGCTTCTCCTGCTGCCTCTTCATCTCCTTCCTCACAAAACCCTACTTCTTCTATATTTCCCACTGGCCTAATGTCTCAATCACTCCAAACCCCTGTTCCTCTTACTGCCATTCCTATCCCATCCAATTCAGAACATGTTCCCTCATCACCATCCTCTTCTTCTCCTAATCATCTCACTGTCTCTAACTCAACTTCTGGCATTGCTCAAAACTCTGAAGTTGCTCCACAAAGTTCTTCATCCCAGCCATCTATTCCATCTGTGACTCAACTCTCACCTAGTTCCTTTACTGCCAACACTCCTAGGCCTGACCTCCCTTTCATTCATCCCCAGAATACTCATGTCATGACCACAAGGGGAAAGAGTGGCACAGTTCAACCAAGACAGCCAACCCTATTACTTACTGAGTTGGAACCTTCTTATAAGGTTGCTCTTAAATATCCAAAATGGGTGGCTGCTATGTAAGAAGAATATTCTTCCCTAATTAAGAACCACACTTGAGATATCACAAATTTACCCCCAAATAGGCAGGCCATTGGCTGTAAATGGGTGTTCAGGATCAAGCAAAATCCTGATGGAACTGTAAACAAGTACAAAGCTCGTTTGGTGGCCAAGGGATTCCACCAATAGCTTGGTTTTGACTTCACTGAGACATTTTCTCCAGTAGTTAAACTTGTCACAGCGAGGATTGTCTTAACTATTGCTATATCAAAAGGTTGGTCTCTTACTCAGTTGGATGTCAATAATGCCTTTCTAAATGGCATTCTCCAAGAGGAAGTATATATGGAACAACCTCCTAGTATTGAGAGTACTGCACCAAATATGGTCTGCAAGCTAAATAAGGCCCTCTATGGGCTTAAAAAAGCTCCAAGGGCCTGGTTTGAAAGGCTGCACCTTGCTCTTAGGGAATTTGGGTTTGTATCCCTATTTACTCTCGTTACTTCTACCTATACTATCTACATGCTAGTATATGTAGATGACATTATTGTCACGGAAACACATAACCTCATATTCAGCAGCTCATTCAAAAACTGAATTCCCAATTTGCTCTCAAGCAACTTGGCAAACTTGATTATTTCCTGGGCATTGAAGTAACACATCCACACATATGGCTCTTTATTTCTCTCTCAAGCTAAATATATCAAGGATTTACTCTCAAAGGCAAACATGGCAGAATCCAAAGGGTTGCCTACACATATGATTACCAGCTTGAAACTGTGTAAGCATGGGACAGATGTGTTCAGTGAGCCCACCTTTTACAGATCTATTGTTGGGGCACTTCAATATGCCACTCTCACAAGACCTGAGATAAGCTTTGCTGTGAACAAAGCCTGTCAGTTTCTCTCCAACCCTCTGGACAGTTGTGAAAAGAATCCTTAGGTACTTGAAAGGCACCCTTCATCATGGCCTTCTGCTTTAACCTACTTCTACTCAGGCTCCTGTTTCAATTAGAGGGTTTTCTGATGCAGACCGGGGGTCTGATCCTGATGACAGGAGATCCACTTCTAGTTACTGCATCTTCTTTGGCCAAATTCTGGTCTCCTGGTGGTCCAAGAAGCAAACTTTAGTGGCAAGATCAAGTACTGAAGCTGAATACAGAGCTCTTGCTAACTCAGCCTATGAAATCATGTGGATCCAATCTCTGCTAACTGATCTTAAGATTCCTTTCACCACTCCTGTGTTGTTTTGTGACAATTTGAGTACTGTTACCTTGTCACATAACCCCATCTTGCATGCCAAGACCTAACATATGGAGTTGGATATCTTTTTTCTTAGGGAAAAAGTTTTAAGCAAGACTCTCCTGCCTTTGATCAATATGCTGATCTGCTCACCAAACCTCTCTCTCCTCACAGGTTTCTGCAGCTTAGATCCAAACTTCAGGTTCATGACAAAGCCTCCCTTCTACAAGGAGGACTTCGGTCTTGAGGGGAAGACATTAGAGTAACACTAGAATAGCATATAGAAGCTAAGGTTTAGTAGAGATAAGTAAAGCAGCTAAACTGGTAAGTTTAGACTGCATAGTGTTACTATATAAACTCTGTAGAAACAGAGATGTAACTAACAATTGTTCAATAACAGATTCAGTTACAACAAACTTTCTCTCTCTTCTCTAAACTCTCTCTACTGTTTATACCTTTCTAATAGCATGTTCATTTACAACTTAGATATTTTTCTTTCAATTTTTTCCTCTTAATAATATCTTTATTCAAGGTCATACCATGATAAATCATATTATCTTCATTAGTTTGTTCCAAATATTGTATCAGAATATAAAGAGATTGTGAAAAATTAAATAAGCAAGAATTGAAAGGAGTCTGCCTAGCCTCTTAGAATTTTAGCGTAGTCTGCAAAATGAAGATGTTACGATTTCTTGTCTTTTTCCGGTGGTTTTCAATGCCAAAAATCATACATAAGAATTATATTTGTACGTTGCCCTTGGATTGACGTGTGTGGGTAAATGATACTTTTTCTGGAGAATCTTCTGTTTGCTGTATGGAAATTTTATGTTTGATTAGTTGACTGCAGCAAGTTTTATTAATGATTTTATAAATTCAACTTTTCTCTCTGCATTCTTTTCTGAACTCATTCTCATTCTTGTAATCTTGTTTTTCCTACTTCATAAGTTCTTTATTCTTATTATGAATAAAAAATCAGTACTGTTCATGCAGTATTTTTTAAAATTCCGACTAGTGATGGATAAGTTAACCACTTATTACCGGAATGTTCTGTGACCTATAATGCTTTGTATGGGCAAAATTATGTGTAATATTAAATTGCTCCTCTACAGTTTGATATTCTCTCTTTCCTTTTTGAGATAAATATTTGATATTCTTTTTACTCACAAGGCCGGCTAAGAAGTCTGTATTTCTTTTACTACTTTGGCTTGTTGAAGGCTTTTCACAATTGATTTGCTGTTCTGAACATTGCTATTTCTACAGGGAAGATTCTCCCGTGATTACATTTCGTCCCCGAGCTCGACAGCTTTTCCAGTATCGTCATTACAGGTATTGATCATGTTCACTTAAGATACTTCAAAGGATTTTGTTGACATATTTTTGCATCTGAGAATCAGTACCATAACACAAGCTTTGTCCTCAATCTCACATTGCCAACTTCAATTGCCATAATTACTTTGCTGTTTGGATTCCAAACTGTTTTCATCATTCAATTAGTGAAACTGCAATAAGAATACATTAATGTAATGATGGGCATTGCTTTTCAATCAAATGAATGATCTCATGATTCTCAAGTTTATAAGTTTCCTAAAAGTGATTCCCAGGATATAATACCTATCAACATATTTGTTTATTTTGCTCTGGTTTTTATTGCAGCCTTTGTTGATTATAAAATACCTTACAACTTTTTTGTAATCATACTGTAGTTTTTAATTATTGATATATTTGTGTTTCTTGTTTACACCTTACAAACTGATCTCTTTTGCTGACCAGTGAGCAACAGCCTCTACGGTTAAATCCTGCCGAGGTACAAGAAGTTATTGCAGCAGTTTGCTCTGAGGCTTCTTCCCCTGGCACCAATGTTATGACAGTGTCAACTAGACTAGGCAATAGCAGTGGAAAACCATCGACGGATGTGGCTGTTAGCGTCCTTATTAAACTTGTTATTGACATGTATGTTTCAATTAATTGTTGTCTTTGTTTTATTCATCCCGTGGCTAGAGGAGTGGCCAATATCAACCATTGATGAAAAATGGCGTGGGACCGCTGCTTATTTAAAAAAGAAATTAGTCAAGCAAATATTTCAGATTGGTTAATATTTTTATTGAACTTCAAATGGAGAAAAGAAAAATAGTCATGGAACTTAACATGTTTTGATCTATAGTGAACTATAGATTCATGGGCTAAACAAATAAGTTCACCGTGTTATAAGCCCAGTTCATTACTTTGGTCAAACTATATTATATACATATATACATGTGGGAATAATTTGTTGACTGGTATTTTGCTAATGTCCATTTAATTGTATTTTTGGGTCACAAGATTATTTATTGTTAACATAATGTTATATGAAAGCAATACCGAGATGTCGTTATAATATTTCAAAATGGAAAATATCATATTGAATTTTTTCATGTCAGGGGTATATCAGGTTGAATGCTGGATCCCTTCCCCACAAATTAACTTTCAATCCATTTACCTGATTGAACTTCTCTGATTATTTCACATATCTATGTTTGTTGTGCTGTTCTGAGTTTATTGTGTATGATGGCACAAAAATATTGTTCTGCAGGTATGTTTTAGATTCTCAGACAGCTGCTCCTCTCATTCTTTCTATGCTTGAGGTGATACATTTATAAATAATTTTTATATTTTTCGGTAACTAAATGCACTTATTTAATTTTAGTAATTTATATTTCAACTGTACCTTTCAGGAGATTCTTAGTTCTTCTGAGACAGGTTGCAGGATTCGTGCTTTCGATTTGATTCTAAATCTAGGGGTTCATTCTCATCTCCTAGAACCTATGATTGTTGCCGAAGCTTCCATAATTGAAGAAGAATATTCTCAAGAATCCTACTATGACAGCCACACTCAAATTATGATGCAAGGAAGCAGAAAAGGAAGTTCTCAGAATAAATCAGACACAGTCTCTGCAATTGATAATTTTGAGCCGTGGATTATAAATATTCTGTATGAGATACTGCTTCTACTTGTTCAGGTATCATTGATCAGAAAAAGAAATTGTTGACAGGATTATTGCTGTGTTTTGTAAATATTTTTCTGGGGTGGGATCATCTGATTGACACGTCAATATTTTGATTTCCATTCCACAATATATTGATACCTGTTCCACAAGATTTTCAAGAAACTTTTCGTACTTTCAAATTTTCTTAGATAACTGATCATTCACATTGTTCTCTCTATTTCTTACACTTCTATGGCAATCAATTATTTTGTACAGACTCAAGAAAAGGAGGAATCTGTTTGGGCATCTGCACTCAGCTGCTTGCTTTATTTTGTCTGCGATAGAGGGAAGATCAGGAGAAACCGCTTACAAGGACTCGACATAAGGGTGAGAAATGAAACCCCCCTCATATTTTTCACTTTACCAGTTTCCATGAACATCTTATTACTTGTTTCGTCGAACTGCATTCTGCAGGGTAGTTTTTTGCTTCACTTTTTGTAATATTGGACAGAGTCTGGAAAGAGAGGATGCTTAATGATTAGTGAATATGGAGAGTTCCCTTGTTTGGTCTTGCTAGAAAGTAAGACTTACATTTAAGAAAATGAAAGCACGAGGTCGTGAGATAATTTGTTGAGGATGTGAGATAATTTGTTGGACAGGATAACTAAAAGAATCAAAGTCAACATTGTTCCTCTTACTACTAGAAAAATTATGGAAGGAAAGAAAAAAAGAGCCTAATGTTCTGTTTTAAATACCAAATGTAAAACTTTTTCAATTGGATAGTTGTATTTTTGCTCCCTTAGGTGCCACACTTGTGCAATTCTGGTTCCCCTTGTTTCAATTGTGCAAAATCGGGTCTCAAGGTACATCCATTGTTGCAATTTGTCCATTCTTAGTTGTCTAATTTGTAACACCAAAAGCCTACTTAGCCAATCCGGGCCTAAGTTGTAACAATTAAACTTGGCAAGTTGATGTTGCCAAAAAGTATTTCTGACAAGATGTAGAGGCTCTATGGGAAAGCTTCCAGAGCAACTATTACCATGCCTGAGCGATTTTCTTTGGGCACACTGGCTTCTCAGAATTTCCTAAGTTAGGGCAAATACAGACCTAGATTGATTACGTAGGCACACCGGCTTCCCAGGATTGCCTAAGTTAGCGCAGATACAGACCTAGATTGATCACGTAGACTCATGGCATTAGAAATTAATGTTAGTGAACAGAGGGACTTGATGTAACACTTGGGATACCCGGGGGATATAACTTGCACATTTGGAACCCTTAGAATTAAAATTGCACAATCGTGATACTTGGGGAACCAAAAGTGTAATCACGCCTTAAAACCAAGAGGATGTGAGGCCTTTTCAAAAGTAGAAAAACTAGAGCAACTGTAAAATCTTTCTGTGAACCATGTTTTCACCGTGGCAGTATTGCAAGTAGAGCAATTCATTACTATCAATCTCATTATAGATGGCAGTTCAGTCCTAACCTTGTTTCTACCAAGTCCCTCTTACTTCCAAAGTTTCACTTAACTAATGAATTGTCCCAACTGATACTCTACTGGAAATTTTTGAACTGTTGGTATTTGGACCTCCTCCATGTTTATACAAACACTGCCGTTGGTTTTTAAAACCCTCTAAGTCTAAAGGCTTCCGGACAATACATGTGTAACTATTAAATATTAGGCTACTTCACTGGTAGTTATCGCTTCAGTTACAATTACTACTATTCCTGTATAAATACAGTGTGACAGACTTGAGTGACTTATGATTCTTTTTAATAGATACATTAGTGCACACTTTTAGTCAATGCTTTCTGATTCTATCTCTTCTATCTCATCAATCATTTTCTGTCACTTTCTCTCTGGTTAACTGATTCACATATTCTTTTGGCTTAGAAGCACACACTTCATGGCTTCACCACTTGCTAGCATCCATTCTGTTTGATTGGGTTATGTGTTAGAATTTTTCCGAAAACTAAAAAACACAGGTGCAAAGGTGTTCCATAATTGTAGATCCAGATTATAAAGGTTATTAGTTTCCAACCGTGTTTTCATATATTTGTAAGTACTGTTTGTTTCCAGTCTTTGACAGAAGATTATATAATTTAAGTTGTGTGGTTTTCTGCATTTCAGCCATGAAAAAGTTCTTACTATGGGAGTTTGTGAATGCTCTTCTTTATCTTGGGTTTTTATGAAGTCATTCATTCACTGTTTTTTTAAATTGTCAATGTGCCCTGTGTCATTTACTATGATATCTGCTTATAACTTAGTTACTTCCAATTTGCCTTTAGGTTCTGAAAGAACTTATAAGAATCAGCAGGGAGAACTCCTGGGCAGAATTAGTTCACTGCAAGCTGATTTCCATGTTAACCAACATGTTTTACGAAGTTCTTGATGAAGTAACAGAGCCTGTTCCTAGAAAACCAAAGTTTCTTGTCGATCAACTTGATCTGATTGGAGGAGTTCAATTTATTTTCATTGAGGTATGTCTATATTTTAATTCTCAATGTTTTTTCTTAAAAAAACTCTCATTATACTTCCAAATTCAAATAGAGTTCATTATTACAAATTTACAATATCACTGTTATTTCTTTAATAGTGAATACTGATAATATTGCACTGTATGGGACTAATGTTTTTGGACTTCATGCTTATGACTAGATTATTTAAACTGTTATGCTCTTTAATATGGAGATTTTGAAGCTCTCCTTAATTTTTTCATGATTGTTACGCTTGCTTGATGTGCCCAACATATATTTTTCATATCAATTTAATGGTGAAATTTTAGCTTCTTTTTATTTCTTTTTTTGCATAATAGTATAATTGTAGATAAAATCCTGAGCTAGCATCATCACCTGGTGTTGCTGAGTTTCCAACTGTATGATTTCCCCCATTTTTTCTATGTTGGTGCAGTATGCCCTTGCAAACTCAAGAGAAGAAAGGAAAAATCTGTATTCAGTGCTTTTTGATTACATTCTGCATCAAGTAAATGAAACATGTATAGCTACAGGTGTAAATGAATACAGTGATGATGAGATCCAACCTCTTGCTTCTCTACTTGCTCAAGCAAATGCACCTGAGGCATTTTATATTTCTGTCAAACTTGGGGTAGAATGCATTGGGGAGATTTTGAGAAGATCAATTGCTTCTACTTTGTCCAGATATCCTAACAGTGAACGACTAAATGTGGTAAATGTCTCCAATACTATTTTCTTGTCTATTGACCCCCCTGCCCTCTTCTCTCTTTTGATGAATGTTTATTACCTTAGTTGGTGGGCATAAGAGGGCCTTCAAGTGGTTTCTTAAATATTTAAAACTCGAGTAATAGTTTTCTTTGTAAAATATAGTAAAAAAAAATCTCAATGTTTTTTGGTTTGTAAAGGACATTTAACCATTTGGACACTGGAGACGATATGCCAAAGAGTTCATCTAATATTTTATTTATAATTAAATGTATAGCCTTACGTAATTCCTTCAGGAAACTTGATGTGCAAAAATTCATCTGGTATTTTTTTAAGGTTATGTATAGTCTTGTGTAATACCTTCAGCAAACTGAAAGGCTTACAATGGAAACAGTTTATGAAACGAAATTTGTACTTCAAATGCTATTATCAACAACATTTTTAAGCTGTATGGATCACACTTGATTCATGATGCAATAATCGGAACTATTCAGTAATTTGCCATTCATGCTATTAATATTAAAGACTTGTCTTTCATAATTATCCGTGTTTCAAAGAATTGGCGGTCTTTTGAGGCAATTATAAACTATTATACACTGGATGAATTTGCCATCTGCAATATTTTTTAAGTTGTATCCATTACGCTTGACCTATGATGCAATAATCGGAACTCTTCAGTAACTTGCCATTTTTTTCTATTAATTATACCCCCATCCTATTGTTTAAAAATCAGGAAGCTGTTGTGACTTTCAATTTGAGATATATTTTCTTGTTTTTGTGGCTTAAATTAAGTCATTTTGAACTTTACATTCATTTGTACCTTGCATGTTTCTTTTAAATCTTTGCAGCTTCTGGAAACTGTTGCAGAGAAGTTTGACACCGTAATAAGTTCATTCACTCATCTGGACAAGGAATTCTCTCTTATGATTCAGATCACTAAATCTCACAAGTTGTTTGAAAATATGGATAATGCATCTCTGCAAAATGGCATTAAGTTGCAAGCAAAGCATTCATGGGTCACTTTACATTCCCTTCTTCATTCTGAAAGAATTCCGTACCGTCAAAATGGATATATCTGGTTAGGGGATCTGCTTATTGCTGAAATTAGTGAGAGAGATGGGAATATATGGTCAAGTATCAAATACTTCCAGCAGGAAGTTGCTCAAGCAGGAACTCAGGATATTTTGGATACATCAAATATTCCTTTATCCATTTTACTTCTGTGTGGCCTTCTAAAGTCCAAAAACTACTTAATTAGATGGGGATTTTTGTTTGTTCTTGAAAGGCTTCTTATGAGATGCAAATTTTTTCTAGATGAGCATGAAATGCAGCTATCAAACAGCAAAACTTTGGAGCATGGCAAGAAAGATTGGCATCTTGAGAAAGCCAATGCAGTGATCGACATAATGAGCAGTGCTTTGTCTTTGGTGTTTCAGATAAATGAAACAGACCATATCAATATTCTGAAGGTAATCGTTTCTGAATCCTAAATGCCTTTTTGTTAAATATCCTATTGATATAACATTAAATGCATAGAAAAGATTGGAAAAAAGCAGTAATCATTACAAAATGCAGCAATTAAATTTGCATGTTCTTTATCTTATTATTGAAAGAGAAAAACACCACAGTTGGCCAATTGAGTTTGTTAGAGGAACTGTTAGAAATTTTTGGTCTTCATGATAGAGCATGGTCTTTTATGAGGTGTAATAAAATGAGTTTACTTCTCAATTGCAGGTGTATGTTATCATAAAATGAAATTATGTTCTAGAAAATCTAAACATAAATGAAATATTTCTTTTGTTATAAATGAAATCTTTCAGAATTATCGATGTAAAGTTAAATCCTTGGAGGAATGTTTAGAGAATGTTCTATTTTGGTTTACATTTAGTATGTCGGTTTAAATGTTGTTGGTCATATTTGTTACCTGTTTTGCTCAACACCTTTTCTATTTCTAAACAGATGTGTGACATACTATTCTCTCAATTGTGCTTAAGAGTTCCTCCTGCTACAGCTCCACCCATTGGTGATGATGTGCAGCATGACAGAAATTTAAATCTCACTAGTGTAAGCAAAAAATCTAACATTGATAATCATGTTCCCAAACGAGATACCTTCCTCTGGGATGAACACAAGGAAGAATCTAATAGAAGACCTGGCTACCCTAATAACTACCATCCAGATCATGAAACGGCATCAATGGCAGCTCTTCTCCAAGGACGAGCTATTGTCCCCATGCAGTTAATTGCCCGTGTTCCTGCTGCCTTACTATACTGGCCGCTCATTCAATTGGCAGGAGCAGCAACCGATGATATTGCTTTAGGAGTTGCTGTTGGAAGTAAAGGAAGAGCAAATCTGCCTGGTGCCACGTCTGATATTCGGGCTATACTTATCTTACTTCTTATTGGTAAATGCTCGGCAGATCCCGTTGCTTTCCAGGAAGTAGGCCAGGAACAGTTTTTCAGGTGATCCAAAATTACTCTATTTTTTGTAAATTTCCCCCCCTTCTTATTTGTCACTTTTATACATTGAAACGTAAATTTAAAACAAGATTTTTCTTGCATCTGGCAGGGAACTTTTGGATGACACAGATTCAAGAGTGGCATATTATTCATCTGCTTTTCTTCTGAAGGCATGAATTTTAATTGATTTTTGGTGTTGAATGTATTGGGGCCATAAATATCATATTTTTTTAATGTTGTAATAATTTTCCATTGCAGCGAATGATGACAGAGAAGCCAGAGAAATATCAACACATGCTTCAGAATCTTGTTGTTAAAGCTCAACAGGTATTGTTGTTTTTATTGATTTGCTTGAAGCTTCTATTAAAGTAAACCCCATTAATATTTTAATTTTGCATTGAAATAACCCTCCGCATTCAAATTATTTCTCTTATACTACTTCTGTGATCAATGATTATCATTGATGAACAACAAACTTGGTACAATTTGGCTTCTGGAGAAGATTTCCAATCGCAGTTTTCAAGATCGTAGGCTAATTTTGGCGTTTTCAAAACTTGAAATGTGGAATTATTAGCAACACAGATCATAGTGTCAATTTTCCCCTTCTCTTCAGTTTATTTCATTGTGTTATTGAAATGAAAACAATTATTCTTTCCTTCAAATCTCTATATGTTTGTTCCCTTTGCAATTTTAATTCCCTTATTTTGTGATTTAATTTTAAATTATTACCAATATGATTATGCTTTGCAATGCAGAGTAACAATGAAAAATTGTTGGAAAATCCATACCTTCAAATGCGTGGCATAATTCAGCTGGCAAATGATATTGGGATTGACTTGTGATCTTCATTACATGATTTTCTGGAGGGATATATTGTTTTGAATTGGAAATCTGTGTTGGTTTAAGAAAGTGTCACCGTTAGTTCTCATGAAGATCTTTCATCATTCAATTGGCTTAAGATTTTGAAACACTTATATCCATGACTTGTTTCCTTCCATAAACAGATTTATTTTTTAACATGGCCAATGAGGGTATAAGTTTGGCCAGCGAATGAGAGCCAATGGAATCGGGCTGTGCATATTATTGAGCGATTTTTCTGAGAAGTAATTAACAGAACTCAACATGCTGCTTGCCCTCAACTCCTGTTGATCTCTTCAGTGATATTACTTTTTTGGAGAACCATGTTTTATCTGCCATGACTCCTTCATCATCCCCGTGTATGTGAACAGCAACTGAGAAGGCAGAGTTCTGTAAAGGAATAGTTTTGAACGCATCTGATTTTGACCCTGCTACTGATTGTTGCTGAGCTAGACCTGCCTTCAGGTACATCTTTCTTTTTTTTATCTTGCTTTGTCGAAGACCCATTTGTAATTGATAGGGGCTTTTGCAAGCAAGCCTGTTCATAAATAGTAACAAACTAACTAGAACTTAAAAAAATGCATTTTCTTAGAAAAATCCAGTCTTGAGATGAGAATGTTTTGTACAGTCCTTTGTAGGCGTTAATAGGCATCCTAAACTTTGTCATAGGCCTTTCTGTATCTAAGATACTCATGTCTTTTAGAAAAGGAAAAGAAAGATTTATACAATCGAGTTTTAAAACCTGAACCAAATCAGCTGATTCAAGTCGAACTGACCAGTTTGCCGGTTGGTTTGATTCTGGTTTCTTTGTAATCTGGTTGACCTCGGGGTTCAATCAAGTTTGGTTCAGCTGGTTTTCATTTACTTTTTAATTCTTGTTCACTTTTTTATTTATTTGTCCTTCGGCTCACGGTTGAACCAATTGAACCATGACCCGAAGGTCTCACGGGTTCAATCTCTTGTCTGATTATTAAAACATCGACACAATCGATCATTTATTTGATTTTACCTGGTAGGAATAGCTTTTTATGACACTTAATTACTGATCAATTTATGTGCTTGCAGTTGCTGGCTGGCGGGTATTGATTTGAATGAAATTATGTGCAGAAGAACTACATAAGATTCTTTCTTTTGTACAGGATTAGATTCCCACAAGGCCTTCAGATTTTTTCATTTATGAAGGCTGCCTCTATGCTTGCTTTTTTTTACTAGCATACAGGACCTGTCAAGGGAAAAGATAGAACTCAGTTTTGTAAGTTGTCAATATATATCACAGGTCACAAGGAGATCGATCCTTTAATAAGGGGTATCTTGGGATGTCTACTTTTAGATGCATCCCTTGTTGCTCTCCTTGTTCTCTGTAAATGTGTGATTTAATGTTTTTCTTTTCCTTTATGATCCATTCCCTTTTTGCGAAAAGTGTAACATGTAGCGAGAAGTTTTGGTGTACATTATCTAGTCATAATTTTATAATGGTAGAATAGCTGTGTGTGCAACAATTTTCTTGATAATAACTGCCCCTATTTATTCCTTCTATTAAGATATAAAAGCTATGCAGTTCTTAGTTAGAAACTGATCTTTAGCTTAAGTTGATGGCTAATGCCTGACCGGTTCTAACCGGTTGTCATCGTGCAGTACTCCAGTCCAAAATAAAAGAGATACTGCAGACATGTTTCGAATACGAAATTTTAAAACTTTTTAAATGAAATAATTCTAAGGCGCTGTTGTCGTTCATCCGAGTAGGTTATCAAGAGATAAACCTTTTTGTGATGAGGTCATTTGTAATTAGTATAAAGGTTAAACGTGTTTGTTCCAATAAATGTGAGCTTTTAAATTTAGTTAATGGATTTGATCTTCAGTATAGGCACCACCACAACATCATTCACATTGATTACGACAAGCCCTATTACCAGTTTCAGCGAAACGACACTTCTTCCACTTCTGGAAGAACTCAGAATCAGCACGAAACAAGTTCAAAACAAATGACTTAATATGTACTACTCCGGCCTAATTTATAAGCAAAAAGAACAATTTTCACGTTTATTAAGAAAGATAGTTGAGTATATTTAATTTTTTTTATTTTTGTAAGAGAGATAACACAACTATTAATATACCCTTCATTAAATTGTCATCTATTAACAATATTGAATTATTAATGCAGAGATAAATTTGGAATAAAGCATTAAAAGTACTTAGATTTGTTGGTTGATATTTGCTTATATTTAAGGTCAAAAAACTTGAATCCTTATAATATTACATTACAAAGATTGTCTGTTTACTTCTAATAGTACAACTATTTTACAGAGATTTGTCAAATTAATTACGGCAACAACTTCATTTAATTATGAAATTTTTAGCACTACACGAGGCAAGTCGAGAATGAATTTGATTGAGATCTCAAATTCAACACACACAAAAGACTCGTGATTTGACTTCTAGGAAGAAATACAACAATTATATATAAGATAATATTGTATGTATTGTTCAACTGAAAGATGATTATACTAAAAGAAATTAAATATAACACATTCTCAAAAGTTTTTTTTTATCCATGATCTTCTGCAAAATGGTGATTTAAGCTCCAACAAATTTGTTCATCTTACAAATTTTTTAGTGCAAAATATTGGTTTTCATCGTCGAAGAAATGATCGTTTAGTTGAGGGGGAAAAATGAATTCGTCCAGCTGAAGGAGAGAAATGAACTTTTCTTAAAAGAATATTGTACTCTTTTTCATTCACTAGATTTTTTTCCCACTTGGTTTTTACTAGTAACATTTTAACGAGGCATATCCTGAACAAACACTCAAGGAATACAGTTGAATAATGGATGCTTGTCTCCCTATATTTTCTTTCTTATTTATAATAATATGTATTGACTAGTAACGAGGTAGTTCCTTCAAAAAGAATATTGTACTCTTTTTCCTTCACTAGAATTTTTTTCTACTGGATTTTTTTCGAATAAGGTTTTAATGATGCATATTTTTTATGGACATCCAAGGGACAGTGTTATAAATGGAATGATTATAAATGTCCATCAATTAAGAGATTTCAATTGATTTTCTATTTATTACACATGTCCTATAAATAGGAGTCATATTGTACTTGAAATCGACACTGATAATAAGAATAATACAATACTATTTCTCTTCTTTTTCTCTCTCATTCGTTTCTACTTTTTTATTATATTGTTTCTTATTACTTTCACAACACGTTATCAACGCGAAGTTTCAAGACTCTTTTGGTGTTGCAAGGTAATATTATTTCTTCCTCTTTTTATAATATATATTTTCTACCTATTATTTATAATATATTGATTAGAAAACGAAAAAGAAAATTAATGATGATTATCAAGTATCCTCGAAGGATAGCAAAATAATATTTATATAATTTCTTGAAAAACTTATCAAGCATCCATGAAGGATAGCAACATAAAATTATATAGTTCCTAAAGAACTTATAAAATATTACGAGTTCATGAAGAACTTAAAAAACATTCCTGAAAGATAACATTATATAAAGCATCTTTGAAGAATAATATTAACGAATCCTAGAAAGATTGCATCTATATATATTTATAATATTAATGATTCCTGATCTATAATATTAATGAATTCCAGAAGGATTACATCTATAATATTAATGACTCCGAGAAGAATTGCATCAATCATGTTAAAAATTAGCAAACTGATTGCATCAATAATACCATATAATTCGAGAAAGATTGCATCAATAATGACGTTCGTTGAAAGATTACCTAACTATTTTTTTATATATCATCCTTTATGATGATTGAGAAATTGTTCTAGAGGAACTAATATTTTAATATCAAACATCTTTAAAGAATTATAATTTTTGTTAATAGTTGTTGATAAAGAATTTTGATTGAGTTCTATAAGAATCACACAATCTAAAATATACTTTCAAGAATATCTTGAAATATTAGTCATAAATGTGATTCAGATTTTTATTCTTAAAAAATATAATATTAAAGTGAACAAACTATGTATGTTTTTTTTAGGTTTGATTTCATTAATAAAAAATATAATAATAATAATACTTTTCTTTGTGATTAAAACTTTTACTTTTTCCTTTTGGCGTTAAAATTATGATTTTTATTATTATAAATTATAGTGTAGCAATTTTATCTTATAATAATGATGAATAATTTTAAACACAATATATTTTAATAAAATTAAATTAAATACTATTTAATAATTTTATTAAAAAAGAGTAAATAAATGTTGTATAATTATTTATTTATCCATTATTTTTTTTATACATTAAAATTGAAATGTTACGGTAAAGTGTGTTTACAATTATGGTTGAATAATTTCTATTGAACTATATTATTTTTATACATATATTTTTATGTTTTTATTTGTCCCGATTCTCATTTATTCCTTAATTATTTTATTGAAATGTATTTATGGTGCTTTTATTTTGTTTAATTATTAATGAATAATTGTTTTTTAATTCTTTAGATTAAATTTATAAAAATTAAATCAAATAAAAAATTCTTTTGTTTAAAATATCTATTTTTATTTTGATAACAACAAAATTCCAATTATATTTTCACTATTGAAATTGGTTAGAACAATTAAAACACAAGCATAATTGCAAATCACAAGTTTACAAATCAAATTTAAGAATGTTGTTGGTAAAATCGGTTGGATCATCCCGGATGGATTATGATGCGAAATTATGTTATTTGTGAAACCGATTTTATATAACATATATAAGATGATATTTGTTAATCAATACATAAATCATGTAGACGATTTAAACATTTTATGATATTAATTGTTGCAATGATAATCGGTCACCATTGTCACTGTTTTTATCACTTGCCTGATTATATTCCAAGTATCCTACATAGTTTATATCATAATTTGTGATGTTTTAGTCAAGTTTATGTTTTCTAAGTTTTTCCTCGCATTTTATAGTTTTTGAGTTATTTCGAATTATTTTCCCTTTTTATGTTCTGGTATGTTGTTTATGGATGGTCCTCAGGTTCAAGTGAAGTTCAACTGGACGCAATGCGAGAAGGTGGCGGAGACCCGGGCATTCAAGGAAAAATTATGAAGGATCAGTTAACAACACATACGCCCATGTTACAGGACACGGCCCGTGTTACAGCGCACATATCAAACAAAAGCCATGAAAAGTCATGGGTGCAAAATGGGTGGCCGTGTTACCTAACATGGTCCGTGTTGCTTCCCCAGGGAGTTGAGAAGAATTAATTAAATGCTGGAGACCAACACAGGTGCCCGTGTTTCCTAACACGACCCGGTTGGTCAGTTACGCTGACTTTGATAATTTTTGTGATTTTTGCTCGAATGTGATCCAGAAGGGTGTTTTGGTACTTTCCACTTGAATTAAAGGTTTTTTTTCACTATACAAAGTAACTTGGATGAGGATAAGGGACACTTTTTGATTAAGAGATTGGTACGAGAGAATTTGGATGTTTTTCAAGAGCTTTGGAACGGAGATCCCTTCATGAGCAATAACAATTGAAGATCGAAGAATCCATCTTTTGTGTAATGTCTA